TTAACCAGTTTTTAATATTAAGGATTTTTTATTGGTCCCCCCATTGCATTTTCTAGGGGTTTTGGAGGACCTTTAAAATATAGTTACCATGAAAAAATGGTTAAAGAAACAATTGGGTATTATTACTGGGAATCTCCTGAAGATAAGCAAAGTTCTTTCGATCGAAAAATATTGATTTTCAAGAATTTTACACCATTTCTATGAAAAGTTGTGTTTCCCCATATAAAATACATGGAAAACTTTGAGCGCTGTGAGCATTCCCTAAATATTTTTTTATTTCAAAATAAAAAAATAGGGGTATATTTGTTTTCGGTATGGAACAATCCTAGGGGGTGGCGGCATTAAAAATCCGACCTTATTTTTTCACATACATTTTTGGACTACTTTAATGTACATATGTATATGCACTATAGTTTTATAACAAAAATTTTTATAGAATTTTTAAGAAATTTGTTAATAGAGTGATGGATTTCCTAAAACTTTTCTCTGGGTAAGTGAAAGCTAAAACCTTCTACACCGGGTTATTTTCCGGTTACTTTTAGGATACACCGAGCCATAGTAAAAAGCGTACATCACTATAACTTTTCCTTTGCATTGCGCAACAATTTCGAGCGGCGGTTGTGAAAAACTGAAAAATAGTGGATTTTTAGAATAAATAGAGAAATAAATACAAAAATAAAGTGAAATCATAAAGAAACCCCAAAAAACTAAACAATAATATATAAAACAAAACTAAACAGTACTATTTGAAGCAAAACTGAAGAAGCGGAATCTGCATCTACACCGGGGACTGCTCCGGCGCATCTGATAGTGTACCTGATACTGCGTCAGCCCGTTGGAATCTAGGTACAGAGAAAGGAGCTAGCAGGAAAACAGGCAAGTAAAAATGAAATCCTTTAGAAACGCGTTAAGTGTAGAAAAGGAAAAACGTGAGGTTAGGGCAGAAAAGTACAGAAAGCTAGAAGAATTTGCAGCAGTAGGTACTGATGAGAGTGAGCCCATAAATGTAGATTTAAACGAAGACAACGAATTTTTGTGGCAGCATGAGGAACAGGAGAATTCGAGTTCTGGGGTAGATATGGATTCTGGTACTAAAGAAAAAGCTGCTGTAATAAGGGCGTAGGCAATCAGAAATAGTGTTTCCCATAATACTGTGACTGATTTGCTGCAAGGTTTTAAGAAAATAGGTGTTAATGACCTGCCCATTTTTGCCAAAAGCCTTTTTAAGACAAACAAGAAAAAAAGTGCAGATCGAGTCCATTCCGAGTGGAGAGTTTATGTATTTCGGAATCGAAAAATATTTTAATAGAAAATCCTGCGACTTTCTTGCGAAAACCAATAAAATTCAAATCGATTTCGGAATTGACGGACTGAGACTTTTTAAAAGTTCCAACAAAATTTTGGGGGCGATTTTAGGAGCGATCGTTGCTTATCCCCACTAAAGTCCTTTTGTCATTGCGTGTTTTTCTGTTACTGAAAAGCCGTGGAACATCAATGACTTCATGAAGGACTTTCGCGAGGAAGTTGCTAGAATTAAAAAGGAAGGACTCAAAGTTGGTTCAAAATACATTCGAAAAGAATTCGAAGTACGCCTGTTCACCTGTGACTCGCCAGCTCGGGCTTTTGTCACAAGTGTGTTTTCGCATAATGGCAAAAAGGGTTGTCCTAAATGTGACCAAGTAGGAACGTATATTAAAAGACGAGTCAGTTTTTCCAAGAAAATTCATGAGTTGCGAACTGATTCTTCTTTTAAAAACAGGTTGGATGTAGAGCATCATAGCATGCCTTTCAGGGAGCAAAGAAATATACTTGGAAACCATAACTTCGGAATGGTTTCCCAATTTCCCCTTGATCCAATGCACCTTGTGGATTTGGGTGTAACCAAAAAACTTTTACAACTGATTATCAAGAGGGGGAATGTGTCAAGAATGACCGAAAAAATAAATTTCTTGTCTCGATTGGTTCCTTCAGAGTTTGGCCGTATTTGTAGAGACTTAGATGAATTGGGCAACTGTAAATCTACCGAATTGAGATAATTTCTCCTATATTCAGGAATATTTGTTTTAAAGGATTGCATAGAAGATGATTTGTACTACCATTTCCTACTTTTGCATGCAGGTATTAGATTGCTTTCCTGCGAAAAAAACTTTTAAAACTGAATCAAATATTGCCCAAGGGATTCTACAGGAATTCGTGAACTTGTTTGGAAGTATCCACGGAGAGAATTTGATAAGCTTCAACGTTCATGGCATATTGCATTTGTCCCAGTGTATGAATCAATTTGGACCTTTGGAGAATTTCTCAGCGTATAAATACCAGACTTACATGCAATACCTGAAGAAAATCATAAAAAAGCCAAACAAACTTTTGCAACAACTTTATTTCAGACTTCAAGAATCCTATAGTTCGGATGCTCCTTAAAAAAAGAATTTAAAAATTGGTTCTTTTGATGTTAACATAAAAAAGGATTCATTTTGTTACAGCGAAAAACGGGCCCTTTCAAAGCTCTATCGATGCAAAGTGTGTCTGGACGGGATGTGGTTCGTGGATATAACTTTCAGCAAATTGAAAATTATTTCCATGAACCACTGGAATCTGTTCCTGGGTTGGGAATACTTATAGCCCAAAGGCTAAATGATCAAGCAATAACAATTTTCAAAAGTGATATCGACTATAAATATTTCTGTATTCCGCATGAAAATAAATTTCTTTTAATACCAATACTTCACAATCTATTCCACGAGTTCTCAATTTAAAGTGGATAGAATAGTATTTAGTAGTAATTAGATAAAACAATGGTTCCAGTATTTATAAATATGTATATTAGACTGCATCACTCCCCATACAAACAAAAATCGGTACTATTTTTCCATTGGAATTATAAAATCTATTATATTTTAAGAAGTCCACCAAAATTATTCGAAAAAATATTAAGATTTAAGTGAGCTGGACCAATTTCAAAATACCTCCAAAAGTTTTTTATGAATAAAAATAGTTTCTTAAATGTTTTTTTTGAAAAAATCCCCTCAAATGACAAAACCGTTTAAGCTTAAAAAATTTGCATAAAAATATTAAAAAAGAATTTGAACGGAATCGTAATGATGAGATTTTTGATGCTGTTTTTTTAACTTTTTTCAAAGATTGGTATAATAAAAACTTGAATAACTGAGCCTAAACTGTTCTGATTAAGACTTAAGAGGTGTCAGTGGAAAGGTATTTTCTCACCCTTTTTATTTCTTTGCTAATAAACTTATTCAAAGGATGAAAGAGAAAGGTAGGATGAACGAACGTCATTCAAAGTTGAATTAAGCTGTGTTGGCATTTGAAAAAAAAAAAAATTGCGACACGAATGATATTTTTTTGGACAGAAATAAAAACAGTGTGAAAATACCTTTCTACCGAGATCCCATACGTCTAAATCAGAATAGTTTTGGCCCAGTTATTCAAGTTTTTCGTAAATTAATCTTTGAAAAAGTAAAAAAAAAAAACAGCATCAAAAATCTCATTCTTACGATTCCGTTGAAAAGATTTTAAAATATTTTTATGCAGATTTTTTACGCTTAATCTGTTTTGTCATCTGAGAAGACTTTTTTCAAAAAGTTCTTTACAAAACTATTTTTATTCATATAAAACTCCACTTTTGGAGGTATTTTCAAATCGGTCCAGCTCACTTAAATCTTATATTTTCCCAAATATTTTGGTGAACGTCTTAAAATATAATAAATTTTGTAATCCCGCCGGAAAAACCGCAACTTTTTTTTGGTGATGCAGTCTAATGTACATACATACAGTGAACCAAATAAAAACTAAACTAAACTAAACTAAAAAAAAAGCCAAAATTTGCTAAAATATCGCGTGATTTTTTTTTTTCACTGTACATACATATGTATATTTTATATTGAGAATTTTACTAATACATATTTTGAATTTCCAAGGAAAATGGAGCACGAAATATCATTCGAAGACGACGACGTGCTAGAAAGTAGTCAACCAGCGATGAGTACACCCAAAGGTAAATTATTTTAATTTATTCAAACTACATATTTAAATTAACATGTTTTTTTCCAGTGCAAACATTTTCTATTGCAAATAGAAAAGTTTTCCAAGTCGGTACAGCGTATAATATAAGACGCCAAGAAAACAGTGATAACAACAAAGGTATACATACATACAATTTATTGTTTTTTCCTTTTATAATTTTGGGTGCATTCGAAAACGTCAAAATACAAAGCATCAGCCTTTTTTGTTTCTTAACCTCAGCAGATTGTAATGCCAAATGTGCGCAACCACGGTTAGATGCTAATTTTCAATTAGGTTGCGCAAGTTAGACCTATTTTTCGAGTGCGTTTTCGAATGCACCCTTTATCTCTGTACTTAAATACGCTTTTAAATATGGACTTCTTTTAACTTCATTTTACTTTTCAGCAATAACAGATCTTCTGAACGCAATTTTAGAACCCAGAAAGCAATATTTAATATGCTAGATACTCTGGAGAAAGCGGTTAATGAAAACGTATTATTTTTATATACCTCCACTTCCACACAAAAAAATCATAAATTTTCTATAAAAATATGGTTCAGCCTATAATATAAACCATTTAAATATAAGTCTCAAACTTTGTAAAATTTTCAGCAAAACTTCAAACAATATATCCCATTAAATTTTAGAATAATGTGCTGATTTGTAATTGCAACCAAAATCCCTTTCTCCTTTTCTTCCATACAAAGTATGTTTTAAATTTTTCTACATTAAAGAAAACGGGATTTTGTAGCAACTTCAAACCAGCACATTATCGTACTAAAATTTAATGGGCTATAAAACTGCATTCCAAAACTTTTTTTTTTTACTGACAAAAAAGCTTTAAATTTTGCTGAAAATTTAACACACGTTTTTAATTTTATAAAAAGTTTGAAACTTATATTTAAATGGTTCATATTATAAACTGAACTACTTTTTTTATAAAAAGTTTATGATTTTTGTTACTTTGTAAAAAAAATCTATGTAAGAAAATTTTTCTAGTGGGTGTTTGTATGCATATTGTTATCTTTATACATTAGGTTCTCGATAGAGGTCCTATAATGGCACATCATCAGACGATTCGAGAGTGCAAAGTGGTCTTAACCAAAGTTCGGCATTCTGTCGGCCGTTTAACAGGAGAAGTTGAAAATCCTATTGAGTTAGAAATCGCAGCTACATTACCTATATGAACCATTGACGATGCATTCGACATTGAAGAGAAGTTAACGTCAAGAGAATATGCCGAAGCAATGGTAGACTTTATTGTTTTTTTTTGTAATTTTATAATTTTATAACATTCCAATTTGCAGAGAACGTATTTATTCAAGTTAAAAAGAGCGAACAGTTCGGTTGACGATGTGTTGCGGAAGATCTTGACGGATGAGCTATTAATTTTATTTAATTTTGATGGCAGAAAGAATAAGAAAGCGCTCACTAAGCTGAAGCTTGTCAACGAAATTTTATTCGGTAGTACAGAAAAATTTACTCAAGCGTTTCACCCAACAATTCAATCTTTCGGAGATAATTTCATTTAAAATATAGTTCGATCAAATTTCAATACTTCAAACTTTTTATTCAGAGGGTGTGCGCAACAATCTCAGCAAAAAAATTCGGAATAAAATATGTGAAACTTTGATGAAAATATTTAGAAATTTGATTAATTGTTGTGAACTTTGTGTAAGCTTTGAAACTTATTTACATGGTATCTGTTATGGATCGAACTATATCTTAAATGCAAGTTATTAAAAGTAAATAGATAAACATAAGTTCCAAACAATGTCATTTTGAATTCTGCGTAATTCTTTACAGGTGTGTTTCAATCTGAAGGACGACCCACCTATGAAAAAATCCTCCGCAAATGTGTCGAGCTGAGCCACAACAGGTGGCGACAGAAGAAATTGTTGGGAAATCGTTCAGTCACCAGCCAGTAAGTTCTCTTTATGGTTTAATTAAAATATTTTGTTATATTATTTAATTTTATTTTTCAGGGTAAATGAGGCATCTCTCTCAAACAATAGTCTACTGAATGATGTAAATTGACTGGAGTAATTCGTAACTCTTTTTAATTAAGTATCTATTAAGCACCTATTAAACGTTACATTATATACAGTAAATATACAGCTTTTGTCTAAATATTTTAAAAGCCACATTTTGACTTCCGTGTTTTGTTGTTTATCTAATGCTCATTAATTTTTTCAAAAAAGTCTGTATAACTTATTATCTAACAAAACCCATATAAATCCAAATTTCAATATTTATAAAAATTAAAAAGATTCAACAAACTTTATTAAAACTTCAAATTTTTTAATTAGAACTTATTAAAAAGATTTTGGGTATACAGTTTTATATCGCGTTATATTTTAGTATAATAAAGTGCAAGTGTGAAGTTGCTGAAAACATTCGTTGATTTACCGTAAATCAACGAACATTTTCAGCAACTTCACATTTGCACTTTATTATACAAAAAAAATGCAGTTTTAATAAAACTTTGTTGAACCTTTCTAATTTTTATAAAAAGTTTGAAATTTCGATTTACATGGGTTTTGTTACATAATAAGTTACACATACTTTTTAAAAAAATTAAAAAACATTAAATAAACAAAAAAACAGAAGTCAAAATGTCGCTTTTAAAATATTTAGACAAAAGGTGCAGTGTTGCCATTTTAGCCGTTTTCCGGCTAGATTTAGCCGGTTGCGATGGCAAACAGCCGGAGAAATTTCGATTTAGCCGGCAGCCGATTTGTTAGCCGCTTTGCAGAAAAAATTAGCCGTTTTTAGCCGATTTTGCTATTTGCCTTGTTTTCTTAAATTTCAAATATGTATATATGTTTCCATTTTTGACTAAGCGACCCAAAATCTGTTAGAAATGGCTACTAGCCTTATCGTGGAGAAAATTTTCATGTCAGGCAGGGTTGTATGAAATTGGGCCGATTTCGCTTATTTCTACACGGAACCACAAATTGTTACCTTCAGACAACTTTGAGCTGTTTTCAGGTCTTCTTAAACCCCCTACCTTTGTGAGCTGAACTGATAAAGCTACTGCAGAGCTGCGGCGATATGAAAATATTGAGGTATATTTTCATACGTACTTCGATATAATTAATTGGTGGGAGGTACACAAATGCGAAATGCCGCTGCTGCAAAAACTCAGTCGTAGAGTAATAGCCACTCCTTCAACTAGCGCATCGTCAGAAAGAGTGGGCTTGTTCGAGTTGCAATCACAACCGCATTGTTGCGCGAATTATTAAAGTATCGCGTTCTATGTGAATTTCTAGGAATGTAATATTAGTTGGGCAGTTGCAACAATGTTGCCATTTTTCATCAGTTCGGCAGTAATACCGCTTTTATTACTTGCCTCGAACAGGCCAGTTTTTTATTCTGCTGGAAATGTTATTTCTGACAAAAGATCCCACCTTTTGTCAAATGATGGTGCCCTTAATCAGTTGATATTTTTGCATTATAATATGCAGTTAGGAAACCAATAAAATTAACAAAAATTGTCTTTACAAATGATTTTTCTTTGATGCTTTCATTACAGCAGTTATGCCATGCAATTGCTATCGCACGTTATGTTTGGAAATAAATGAGTGCGAGTGTGTGCAGATGTGAAAAGAAAGCGAGTGACTTAAAATGTAATTTGAGTGTATCCATGCAGCTCTCTGCTATGTACACATATGTATTTTTATACCCGAGCGCACTTGTGCACAAGGGTATATTAATTTTGTTCACATAACGGTTGTTTGTAACAGCCAAAACGAATCGAGATAGATATAGATAAATGTATACATAAATGATCAGGATGAAAAAAGAAATCGATTAAGCCATTTTTAGACGAAAAATAAGAATATTATAAATTTTTTGAAAATGGGCGTAGCCACGCCCACTTATGGTTACATGTGAATATCTTGGTAACCGCTGCACCAATTTCTCCCAAAATTGGCACAGTTGTTGGCCTTGGTACAGCATACAAAACCGCCGAAAATTTTTAAAATCGGACGATAACCACGCCCACATCCCATATAACGGTAATTTAGAGAAATACAAATCTTCGATAAATCAGTAAATATTGAAGCTAATTTATTCAAAATTGATGCTTGCAACAAATCTTTACCAAGAAATACGTTTATGGTAAAATTTTGGAAAATGGGCGTGGTACCGCCCACTTATGATCACATATATGTATATCGGTAACCGTTCTACCAATTTGTACCAAACTCGGTATTTTTATTGTGCTTGCCACATACAAGAAAAACGTTGAAAATTATTGGAATGGGACTAAAATTACGGCCGCTTTTCATATAACGGTAAATTTCAGAAATGCTTGAAACCTCAATATTTCGAAATTGAAGGACGCTAATTTACTCAAAATTGATACACCCCGGCTTACCATCTAGCGGTAGCTTTCGAAAAGGTGCCAAACATATATTTAATACGTGCGCCGGGTATTTAACGTTCGGCTCCGCCCGAACTTAGACTTTCTTACTTGTTTTAAACAAACTTTTTTGCTGAGAACTTATTTAAATTCCAAAAACCGAATGCCAACTTGAATTAAAGAAACCAACACTGAAGTGAGTCAAAATGAAAATAAAAGAGCACAAATTTTTATGTAAAGCAAAACTCTCTGGGAATCCTACGAGACATCTGCCGGTCATATGACCGGTCATCCAAATGGGAGATCTGCAGTCTTTTGCATCATATTTTACATCAGAATTGAAGCGATTTCTGAAAAATCTGACCAGTTCTTTTGTGTAACTGTGATTTTGCATCCCTTGTCAACATATGGCCTCGGTTGATGTTAACTTAAGGTCGTTGTTTTACTGCCTTAAAATTGAAGGAAAATTTTTACAGCGTTTTTTATGTGTATTGGTTTCTATTTGAGTGTATTGAGAATCGGTCAGTCTGAAAAGGCCTTGTAGGGAAGACAATAGGTTTGTTCGTCGAAAATCCAGCGGGAATTATCACTCAAAATATCAGATAGTAAAAAAAAATGCTCCCAAATTTTCTCTCATGTAGAGAAACTTGCAATTTTCTGTACGCACGCAAATTTGCAAGTTTTTCTGCCAGCTAGTGTCCACGGTTGCATTTCAAACAAAAGAAATTTGTATAGAATTTTTAGAATTCTTTCAGAGGGGCAAAAAACGGGATCTACGTGTATATATCTTGTCAGTCCGCCTTTCTTCAACATACGATTCAATTTCTTTGTCGGGTTTACTATATCAACTCTGGTTGAGATTGCATTCCTTTCCTTGAGTACCTTTCAAATCATTGGAATTAACTAAATTAATTATATTAAATTAATCATATGTTTTTCCTAATTGCAAATTCTTGCTGGCAAAATTTTTTCCGGCTCGAATTTGTAACTTCTCTCCAAGAAATAGTCTTTTTACTCGTGATTTATTTAAATAAAACATGTGAGATTTAGTTGAAACATTTTAGCTGTTTTTAGTCGGTTTTATTTGCCAATTTAGCCGGTTCGTCCAAAAAGTTCTGGCAACACTGAAAAGGGGTATGTGATTAGTAATTAACAACACATTTCTAAGTAAATACGAAATCTATTTGTGATTACCTGTTTCCGAACTTTTGATTAACAGCCGATTCGTCGGCAGAGGAATGCTTCAAAAATTAGTCTGGCGGCATCATTCTAGCCGGTTTAAACGCAACCGAGACGTAACGTAATATATGAAAAGCAAGACGAAGACGACCGATAGAGTATAAAATCGTAATCAGAGATGTTGTCGTCTGCAGACGAATCGTTCGTGATACAGAATAAGGCTGTAAGAATTCCTAAATATATATAGAAATACAAAGCATCAGTCTATTTTAACTGCAATAAGCACATTAAGTCCGCAAGCGGAATATTTTAATCTTCTTTGCCTTAGAAATAAGAGACTTACGATTTGTATTTTACATTTAGGAATTAGCTCACGTAATTTAATGCAGACTCTTGGTAGTTACTCATTAAGGAGGGCTGTATTTGAGTTTATTATCCAATAAAATAAAATAATATGTATTAGATTTTTATTTTATTTAAAATGACATACATTTGTATAAATGTGATTGGTTGTATTACGTGGTATTAAAGAAATTTAATACTTCCATAAATTTGGAGTAATGGAGTGAAATAAAAAATTTATATAAAAATATTAACTGTTATTTGTTTTGTTATTTATGCGGTATCTGCACGAATAAGTATAACAGGTAAAAAATACATTTATAACAGGCTAATACTACGCAATATTTATGCGATGCCCGATATGTTAGTTATCACCAGGGAATGGATTTTTAGGACCTAAAAACCTATAAAAAAGGCAAAATAAAGTAACGAAATAGGCTGGAAAAGGCAAAATAAAATAGCGAAAAATGCAGGAAAAGGCACTAGGTATTGCAAAAAAAGGCAAAACAAAATAGCGAAATAGGCAGGAAAAGGTAAAAAAGGTATTGCAAAAAAAGCAAAATAAGGCACTAAAAAAAGACAGAAAATACGAAGAACAATCAAAAACTATATTTATTTTAAAAATGCTTATATTTCAAGTAAAAAGAGAAAAACTATGAACTAGTTTCATTATATGAAAAATTTGTACTTTGAATATTTGACTATTTTATCCTTTCCAGTTTCTAACTCATAAAACTTTAATCTGTATAGTTGTAGTAACATTGAACCATAAGATGCATTTTGAAGTTTTCTGGCAGCATTTTCATTCGATTTTCGCGAAGAAAAGCCTTGAATGTACTAAATGTGCGCTCGACGTAAGTTGATACAAGTGGAGCCCAATTTAAAAATGGAACGTTTGAAACGTTCATATTATCAGAAATAAGGGCGTTTTCCTCGCCCTTTACAATTTTATCCACACCCCTTATTGTCTTCAAGCCTACGTTAGCTGAGAAAACGGCTTTGAATATTTTCAACACCAATTTGGCAAG